CAAATATCATCTCCCTGGGCAGTTTGGTTATCGAGAAGAAGATGTTTAAAGTTTTTAACATATTTGACCCCTGTGACCTTGAAAATGGGTGAAGGTCATTCATTTGAACAAACTTGGTAGCCCTTTACCCAAGCATGCTACTGGCAAAATATCATCACCCTTGGCATTTTGGTTGTTGAGAAGAAGTTGTTTAAAGTTTTTAACATATTTGACCCCTGTGACCTTGAATATGGGTGAAGGTCATTTATTTGAACAAACTTTGTAGCCCTTCATCTCAGCATGCTACTGGCAAGATCTTAGCATGCTACTGGCAAGATCCTAGCATGCTACTGGCAAGATATCATCACCCTGGACATTTTGGTTATTCAGAAGAAGTTGTTTAAAGGTTTTTTAAGACAATTGACCCCTGTGACCTTGAATATAATTGAAGGTCATTTATTTGGACAAACTTGGTAGCCCTTAACCCAAGCATGCTACTGGCCAAATATCATCTCCCTCATATTTACTACAGTACTAACTACCATGTAAGATCTGTGTATTCATATAAAGTACAGTACTAACTACCATGTAAGATCTGTGTATTCATATATACTACAGTAATAACTACCATGTAAGATCTGTGTATTCTGTCACCCTGTCTTATCAAAATGTTGTCCTTCACAGGTTTCAGATTAGACAGGTTGTTGAGGTTTATCTGACCAAAATGTGTTGTGCTACATGGAGTGTCAGATTAGACAGGGAACTCTCACTTGGTGTCATATAAGACAGGTTTCACTGTACTTATTTGAAAGTTAATATTTTTTGATTTTTTATTCAAATGTTTTTTTTAATTTAGAATAATGCTCAATTTGTAAAGCATGCAAGGTCAAGGTCAATCTAGGTAGGAGTCACTCACCGTGTATCCGGTGTTTCGACTGCGGATGCCAGGCTTTGTCGTGAGATACCTCATTCTCAGGTAGAATAGTCGCTTGTCCTCCAGCCTGGGCAGAGATTCTGTAAGACAAGGAAGATAACTCTTATCAGGTGTGGCCACCATCTTCTTACCATGTCCAATCATTGTAACAGGACAGAATGAAGTTGGATGAAAGGCATGTCTACTAAACATTGATCTTCACCTTTGACCTCAGATCTTCAATTTCAATATCGTTCATCATCTTGTCATACCTAATCATTGAAATAAGTTTGAAAGATATTGGACAAAGAAATTTGTTCTAATATACCAAATCCTTTAACAAGGAGTTAAAAACAAGAGGCCAAAAATGGGGCCTAAACACACTCTCCTGATTACATGGCTGTATTATTTAAATGGCACTGTGACATTGACCTTAAATTTAACCTCTACGCTATGTTTTTCAAATTGATTCTTGTCTATCTGCCAACAATGTACATTATATACAAATGACCTACTGATTTGTGCATGATAGGCTTCAAGGTTATTCAGAACAAGTCATGTGAAGACTTTAAAGTTCTTTCATCTGAACTATTTTTTTCTCAATAAAATGACCCTTTCCTTTCTATAATACTTTCTGTTCTCTCCATCAGTTTTCTTCCACATACTCTCACTCCAGATTCATAATGTCTTCTGGATACTCCCCTTGCTCCAGACTTGTAAAGTTCCCTAGATACTGACTTCAATCCAGACCCTAGATACTAGCCTCCCTCCAAATTCCACTACTCTCTAGACTCCTCCCTTGCTCCAGACCCCAAACATCCCCTAATGCTGGCCTTGATATGAATGCCTAAACCTTGCCCCCTCCAGATACCTACTGTCCCCTGGTTACCTTTCACACCTGAACCCAACCATTCCCTGGATACTTCCCTCCATCAAGGCCCCCGCCATCCCCTGGATACCTCCCTAGCTCAAGATACCAAAATCCCTTGGAACCCTTCACTCCAAAACCCATTCATCCCCTGGATACCTCCCTTCATCAAGACCCCCACCATCCCCCGGTTACCTCCCTTCATCAAGACCCCCGCCATCCCCCGGTTACCTCCCTTCATCAAGACCCCCACCATCCCCCGGTTACCTGCCTAGCTCAAGATCCCAACATCCCTTGGTAACCTCTCATTCCAGACCCCCACATTCTCCTAATTACCTCCCTCTGTCAAGACCCCCACCATCCCCTGGATATCTCCCAGTATCCAGACCCCACCATCCCCTGTATACTGACCTCCCTCTAAACCCCTATAATCCCATGTATACTAACCTCAATCCAGACTCCCACAATCCCCTGTATACTGACCTCCCTCTAGACCCTGACCACCCCCTTGATACTGACCACCCCTCCAGACCCTGACCATCCCCTGTATACTGATGTCCCTCCAGATCCCTAGCATCCTGTACACTGACCTCCCTCCATCCCCTGGCCATCCCCTGTTTACTGACCTCCCTCCGTCCCCTGGCCATCCCCTGTTTACTGACCTCCCTCCGTCCCCTGGCCATCCCCTGTTTACTGACCTCCCTCCATCCCCTGGCCATCCCCTGTTTACTCACCTCCTTCCAGACCCAAAACATTCCCTGTATACTTACCTCATTCCAGACCCCGACCATCCCCTGTATATTCTCCTCCCTCCAGACCCAAAACATTCCCTGTATACTGACCTCCCTCCAGACCCTTAACATCCCCTGTATAATCACCTCTCTCCAGACCCAAAACATTCCCTGTATACTGACCTCATTCCAGACCCCGACCATCCCCTGTATATTCACCTCCCTCCAGACCCAAAACATTTCCTGTATACTGACCTCCCTCCAGCCCCTGACCACCCCCTGTATATTGACTTCTCTCCAGGCCCAAAACATAACCTGTATACTGACCTCCCTACAGACCCTGACCATCCCCTGTATACTGACCTCCCTCCAGACCCTGAACATCCCCTGTATAATCACCTCTCTCCAGACCCAAAACATCCCCTGTATACTGACCTCCCTCCAGACCCCGACCATCCCCTGTATACTGACCTCCCTCCAGACCCTTAACATCCCCTGTATAATCACCTCCCTCCAGACCCAAAACATTCCCTGTATACTGACCTCTCTCCAGATCCCAAACATCCCCTGTATACTGACCTCCCTCCAGCCCCTGACCATCCCCTGTATATTGACTTCTCTCCAGGCCCAAAACATAACCTGTATACTGACCTCCCTACAGACCCTGACCATCCCCTGTATACTGACCTCCCTCCAGACCCTGACAATCTCATGTATACTGAACTCCCTCCATCACCTGACCATCCCCTGTATACTGATCACCCTCCAGACCCTGACCATCACCTGTATACTGACCACCCTCAAGACCCTGACCATTCACTGTATACCCACCTCCCTCCAGACCCTGACCATCCCCTGTATACTGACCTCACTCGTGACCCTGACCACCCCCTGTATACTTACCTCCCTCCAGACCCTGACAATCCCATGTATACTGAACTCCCTCCATCACCTGACCATCCCCTGTATACTGATCACCCTCCAGACCCTGACCATCCCCTGTATACTGACCACCCTCAAGACCCTGACCATTCACTGTATACCCACCTCCCTCCAGACCCTGACCATCCCCTGTATACTGACCTCCCTCCAGACCAAAATAATCCCCTGTATACTGACCACCCTCCAGACCCTGATCATCCAATGTATACTGACCTCCCTCCATCCCCTGGCCATCCCCTGTATACTGACCTCCCTCCAGACCCTGACCACCCCCTGTATACTGACCTCACTCCAGACCCCTATCATTCCCTGTATATTGACCTCCCTCCAGACCCCAAACATGCCCTGTAAACTGACAACCCTTCAGACCCTGACCACCTCCTGTATACTGAAATTCCTCCAGACCCCAAACATGCCCTGTATACTGACCACCCTTCATACCCTGACCACCCTGTATAATCACCTATCTCAAGACCCTGACAACCCCCTGTATACTGACCTCCCTCAAGACCCTGACAACCCCCAGTATACTGACCTCCCTCAAGACCCTGACCAACCTCTGTATACTTACCTCCCTCCAGACCCTGACCACCCCTATATAATCACCTCCCTCCAGACCCTGACCAACCTCTGTATACTGACCACCCTTCATACCCGGACCACCCCTGTATAATCACCTCTCTCAAGACCCTGACAACCCCCTGTATACTGACCTCCTTCAAGACCCTGACAACCCCCAGGATACTGACCTCCCTAAAGACCCTGACCAACCTCTGTATACTTACCTCCCTCCAGACCTTGACCAACTCCATATAATCACCTTCCTCTAGACCCTGACCACCCTCTGTATACTTACCTCCCTCCAGACTCTGACTACCCCTGTATAATCACCTTCCTCTAGACCCTGACCAACCTCTGTAAACTTACCTCCCTCCAGACCCTGACCATCCCTGTATAATCACCTCCCTCCAGACCCTGACCACCCCTGTAAACTTACCTCCCTCCAGACCCTAACCTCCCCCATATAATCACCTTCCTCTAGACCCTAACCAACATCTGTAAACTTACCTCCCTCCAGACCCTGACTACCCCTGTATAAACACCTCCCTCCAGACCCTGACCACCCCCATATAATCACCTCCCTCCAGACCCTGACCCCCCCTGTATAATCACCTCCCTCCAGACCCTGGCCATCCCCGTAAACCTATCTCCCTCCAGAACCTGACAACCCTTGTATAATCACCTCCCTCCAGACCCTGATCACCCCCTGTATACTGACCACCCCTCCAGACCCTGACCACCCCTGTATACTGACCTCCCTCCAGACCCTAACATCCCATGTATACTGACCTCCCTCCAGACCTTGACCACCCCATGTACATTAACCTCCCTCTAGACCCCAATCATCCCCTGTTTACTGACCTCCCTCCAGACCCTGACCACCCCCTGTATACTGACCTCCTTCTATGTTGGGCTGGACACCGTTGTCCTGTGTTGACACCTGGAGGTTGAACTGTTTCTTTATCTCCGGTATATCATTGGGGTGGAGGAAGTCCTTCACAGAGTTACCAATCATTTTTGTCTGTAGGAATATAAAGTACAAAACATCAACATTTTAAATAAGTTTCACATTTCATATAAGTTACAAGAGGCCTACGGGATTGAGAAGCACATATGGTTTTTAGTAACATTTGTTTTCAAATTTCAGATGAACTTGTCTGTTTTGACAACATACAATGAATGCAATGATTCTGTGCTGCTTTAGAGTTGTTTGAAGTAAGAAATGGAGAAGAAGGATTTCAAACAAGCTTTTAGAAGTGTTCTTTTCAAAATGTACCCTCATGTATGCTATTGTACACATTCCTCTGTCCATTTGGGTCATATTCATAACTTATGACACTGAATTAATCCAGGACTAATTCAGGAGTAGTCCTTGAACATTTACCCATATTTTGTATTTTGGAACACCTTTGGGGAATAAACTTTAATGATATATCAGTAAAAAAAAAAAATTCTGGCAAATTTAGTAAATACTGCTAGCAAATTCTTCTGAAAGTGTTTCATAACTTCCCGATCTATATGGCTCTATTTTTGCCCCAATTTGGGTTGTACTTATTTCATTCATACAAAACCAATTCCCTTGGCTCTGGGATATCCTTTATCCATTTTGTCAAGTTTAAGAACTGTTGACAATGACAGACATGATGTTACGATATCAGCTGACTTGGCCTTCTCTGACAGTACAACAAAGTCGAGTAGAATGACCTATCCTAATTTATCATATGAATACCGTGTTATGCAGTGTCATAAAGCCATCACATAAATTATGTTTATGTAACGTATGTAATATCACTCCAGAAATGACGTCACAGTCGAATAAGAACAATCAATGTGACGTCACGTCACTGTGAAGCGGACGCAATTTTCATCGTTTCAGAGGCAGCCAAGTGCAAAAAACTCGTTTCAGATCACAATTATACAATTTACTTTGTATTATATGATAAAAAGAATCTGTCATTCGTTTCCCTTCATATTAGATTGATGATGCTTGTTTTGGATTTTTCATGTTTGCGAGCTTTTAAATTCCAAAATTGTATCATAAATCTAATATGAATTGAAACTTATGATAGATCCTCTGTACATCTACAGACTCGTAACACATACGACTCTCAGTATGTGAGCAAGCTACAGTGAGATCCAGGGTACAGAAAATGTTCAAATAATTTTTAGAAATTGTCGAATTCATATAGAATTTTCCTATTTTGTTCACCTGCAGAGAATCTAGAAACCAGAAAATGTCTGTAAGACATGAACGCACCCGTCACCATATGCCATGAGTTTCAGTGTTTGATGTTCTATAAATAGTTTTAACTACTTTGATCACTAGACGGGATCGGAAGGGACGGGTTGGACATAAGCAACACTATATGCCCCCCATTTTATGGCGGGGGCATAAGAACATGAAATTCAAATTTCCCTTATATTCTGTTACATAAACTTGTTATAACTTAATTTCTAAATTTTCTTTGAGAAAAGAAACTGCAAACGTAACACCATAATTTGCTCAAATATTTTTTTTTTGCCTTCTACAATGAAACAATACAGTAATTGTACTTACCTGTGAAACGCCAAGAAAACCTTCCACATTATCCGACACAAAAATTATGCTTTTCCTGCGATCGAGGACAATCAGGAACCCATTCAGGGCAGCCAGCATCAAGTTACTCTCATTTACACATTCTGACATCACACTGGCTAGCTGGGGAACTGTACAGTAAAACAGACAGGTCAGACATTCAAAGCTTACCCAATCAAAAAGTCTAACGTTACCTCCTTTATCTAATCAAAGATAGAATTTTTACCTCCCTTTTCTAATCAAAGTGAAGTATTACCTACCTTATCTAATCCAAATGTTAGATTACCTCCTTTTTCTAATCCAAGTGCAGGATAACCTCCCATTTCTAATCCAAGTGTAGGATAACCTCCCTTTTCATATCCAAGTGTAGGAATACATTCCTTATTTAATCCTAGTGTAGGATTACCTCTCTATTTAATCCAAGTATAAGATAACCTCCCTTTTCTATGTGTAGAATTACCTCTCTTGTCTTATCCAAGTGTAGGATTACCTCCCTTTTCTTATCCAAGTGTAGGAATACATCACTTATCTAATCCTAGTGTAGGATTACCTCTCTATCTAATCCAAGTGTAGGATAACCTCCCTTTTCATATCCAAGTGTAGGAATACATCCCTTATTAAATCCTAGTGTAGGATTACCTCTCTATCTAATCCAAGTATAAGATAACCTCCCTTTTCTTTGTGTAGGATTATCTCTCTTGTCTTATCCAAGTGTAGGATTATCTCTCTTGTCTAATCCAAGTGTAGGATTACCTCTCTTGTCTAATCCAAGTGTAGGATTACCTCCCTTATCTAATCCAAGTGCAGGATTAACTATCTTATCTAATACAAGTATAGGATTACCTCTCTATCTAATCCAAGTGTAGGATAACCTCCCTTTTCCTAACCAAGTGTAAGAATACATCCCTTATCTAATCCTAGTGTAGTTTTACATCTATATCTAATCCAAGCGTAAGATAACCTCCCTTTTCTCTATGTAGGATTACCTCTCTTGTCTAATCCAAGTGTAGGATTACCTCTCTTGTCTAATCCAAGTGTAGGATTACCTCCCTTATTTAATCCAAGTGTAGGATAACCTCCCTTTTGTTATCTAAGTGTAGGAATACATCCCTTATCTAATCCAAGTGTAGGATAACCTCCCTTTTCTAATCCAAGTGTAGTACTACCTCCCTTATCTAATCCAAGTGCAGGATTACCTCCCTTATCTAATCCAAGTATAGGATTACCTCTCTATCTAATCCAAGTGTAGGATTACATCCTTTTTCTAAGTGTAAGCTAGATTACCTTCCTTGTCTAATCCAAGTGTAAGATTACCTCCCTTATATAATACAAATGAAGGAATACCTCCCTTATATAACCCAAGTGTAGGATTACTTCCCTTGTCTAATCCAAGTGTAGGATTAGCTCCCTTATCTAATCCAAGTGTAGGATGACCTCCCTTATCTAATCCAAGTGTTTGATTACCTCCCTTATCTAATCCAAGTGTTTGATTACCTCCCTTATTCAATCCAAGTGTTTGATTACCTCCCGTATTTAATCCAAGTGTTTGATAACCTCCCTTATCTTATCCAAGTGTAGGATAACCTCCCTTGTCTTATCCAAGAGTAGAATAACCTCCCTTATCTTATCCATAGTCTTTTCACTTATAATAGACAACTTAAGAGTCACAGATTTGACCTTTTTCTTTGAATTCAGTATTTGCTTCTACACTTCAGAGGGTCGTTAGGTAGGGTAAAAGATAAATGTACTTTTCCCTTGGTAGGGATGGACAGGTCACACGTGTCTGTATTCAGACAACATCACTACATCATAATAGGATTTTTGACATGATAGCTTTTCTTGAACAAGGATCTATTACTAAGTTTTAAGGGTAGTGAAAAAAGTCACAGCAAAGACTAACTGAAATGTTCCTGCCTACATCACACTGCCATTATAGATTCAATTAATCTCTTAAATCCAAGTGTAGCATCACCTCTCAGACCAAAATTATTTATTCCAATAATACTGGATTACATCTCAAAACAGCATTCCATGGTTTTACTAGGAATATATGACTTAAGGTTATACGTCCGACTTCTGTTAGCATTATCTCCATACTTAAGCCAATAAATCAGATTTATCAAATCATCGCAATTATCATTCCCAAGTATCTTACAAAGATGTCAACAGTTAATCAAGTTAGTTATGTCATCACTTGATTAATCAAGTTAGTTATGTCATCACTTGATTAATCAAGTTAGTTATGTCATCACTTGATTAATCAAGTTAGTTATGTCATCACTTGATTAATCAAGTTAGTTATGTCATCACTTGATTAATCAAGTTAGTTATGTCATCACTTGATTAATCAAGTTAGTTATGTCATCACTTGATTAATCAAGTTAGTTATGTCATCACTTGATTAATCAAGTTAGTTATGTCATCACTTGATTAATCAAGTTAGTTATGTCATCACTTGATTAATCAAGTTAGTTATGTCATCACTTGATTAATCAAGTTAGTTATGTCATCACTTGATTAATCAAGTTAGTTATGTCATCAATTGATAAATCAAGTTAGTTATGTCATCATTTGATTAATCAAGTTAGTTATGTCATCACTTGATTAATCAAGTAAGTTATGTCATCACTTGATTAATCAAAATACGAAAGTTGTCAAATGATTAATCAAGTTATTTGCAATTTTGGTGGTGTGAAACTCTTAAAGTTAGGTAACATACATCCTCAACTCATTCACCCCTGAACTTTCATAATGAACTATTCCAACCTTTGAATTGGAAGAGTTCAAATGTGTCTTCAGGGGTAAATGAATTAAGTAAAAAAAAAAAAAGGTTTCATGATTCCAGGATTATAGATATGTTGGGTAAATTCTTAACTGTGCAGAGCAACTGAACTTTTAAAACAAAACAACCTGATTTATCATACCCTTGAAGCTCCCATCCCCACCCACACTCTCCCTAAAATAAACCTCCTACAGATGACATACACCTTTGGGGACAATTGTTTGTAATTTGCAGCTGTCAGTGTCTTGTAGCCCCCACATTATTTGGATACAAGTCTTAAACAACAACACCTAGGAATGTCCTTGTGTTTCCCGTGTAGACTTGTGCGTTTATATTTTTCAGATAAATATTGCAGACCAAAAGGAGCTGATACAATATTGATTGTATTATTTTTGATACTCTACACACTTACTGTGTCTATTTTATACACTCACTGTGTCTATGTAAAGAAGAGAATCCCAGTGTTCTATACAGTACACAGACATCAAATATTTACTTAATATTTATTTCAACCCCGACACCTTTTTTTCCCGAATGCTGACAAATCTTAAAAAATAACTTCATTCTGACAAAATGTATCAAATGTTCACCTTATTCTAACATTTAAAAAAAAAGATATACAGTTTTATAATAAAGCAGAAAATATCTGTTCTTATATGGATGGGAGAATTGTGGAGTTTGGTATGTTGTCAGCGAGACCTACCGTGTTTGCCGTTTGTCCCGTTAATGGGTATGATGGTTTTGTCAGGTACAGGACATGCCTCATCTAAATTCATGGTAACTGCTTTCGTCCCATTACACGTATCCTTGACAACGCCAGCCAATTCTGCAAAGACAGAAGAGATTGATGTCTTGTAAAGAAAACATTCAAATCTGTTGGGTCGAAATGATCGCCCAGACAACATAGCTACAGGGCCTTCAGCTTAGCTTGTACAAAAAACCTTCATTGATTATCATATTTTCAAATTTGATACTTTTCATTTTACTTATTAACAAAGCATAATTTTTCTAATTAACAAATGTGAAGTATAATGAACAATATTGATGGTGAAAAATGACCAAACGAAGAAAAATCCTGAAATTTCCTCAATTAACTGGAAAAAAATCTTTAACAAGCCGAGTGGTTTCAAAATGAAAACTGAGATTTCTGTTTAATTTACACCAAAAGGAAAGAGCTGGGCTGTGAAACAATGGAACACCAGACGTTGTTCTTGGTAGCTCGGTAGATTACGGAATACATGTACCATTAAAATGGTATATAAGTGTTAACGTGGTATTAACTGTGAAACATTCCACACAGCCAAAGCTCATTACAAAAGGGAATTGCTACCATTCATTACAACTGTGACAAAATTCGCCACATCAAACTGCACGAATTTCAATTAACTGAACGTGGCAGGTAGGTAATCATTCTACTCCTATAAATGGATTTCTGCAATGAGCTAGAATTTTACTATCTCTTTAATACAGAATCAATAAATTTAAAATAAAAAGTGTTTAAAGATAATCTCATGGATATTTTTATCAAGATATTTTGCACTTGATTTTTTTATATGAAATTCTTATTTTGATAAAAGGCACTAATTTGGTGCATGAATCAGTGTTTCTTGGATTACTGGAAAGTTTCATTTTGATATTTATTTCTCTGTTGTTGATACAATTTTCAGTTGATTGTGTCAAAGCAAATAAAGAATTGCCTGAAATATAGAAACAAAGCATCTTTGATATTAAAACTGATGTTTTATGGAGAATTTTGAGACAATGTTAAGCAATGAGTACTCAAGAACTGAATATCTTTAGATAGAGTTTTAGAAGCTTCTGTCTTGCTGTGGGGCAGAATGTGTCAGGATCATAACAAGACTGTCACAGATTTAAAACTAGTCTTATATAGTGTCTCCCACTAAAGCATGCTACTGGCAAAATAACATTGCTCTAGGACTCCTAGTTTTATAGAAGATATCGTTTGAAATTTTAAACATATTGGGCTCATGACCTTGGAAGTTGTCAAGGTCATTTATTTAAACAATTCTGAGAGCTGTCCCCCTGAGCATCACACAGACAAAAAATTATGATATTTGCCTCGGTCTTCTGCAAAATGCCTGTTTGATGCTTTTGATACATTTCATCCTTGTGACCTTTGAATAGTTCAAGGTCGTTTATTTTAACAAATCTACCAAAGCCCTTTTACAGCAAGATGCAGCAGGCCAAATTTTGTAATGTTATGCTGCATAGTTCTTTAAAAGAAGATTTTGAGGCTTTTGACACCATCAACACCTTGAAAGTGGGCAAAGGTAATGTATTTGTGTTAGGAATATCAAGTATTCCTGTGACATTTGTCTACAAAGACAGTTGCCAGGGTAATGTATTTGTGTTAGGGGTATTCCTGTGATATTTGTCTACAAAGGCTGTTGCCAAGGTAAAGGGGTTTTCCTGTGATATTTGTCTACAAAGACTGTTGCCAGGGTAATGTATTTGTGTTAGGGGTATTCCTGTGACATTTGTCTACAAAGACTGTTGCCAGGGTAATGTATTTGTGTTAGGGGTATTCCTGTGATATTGGTCTACAAAGGCTGTTGCCAAGGTAAAGGGGTTTTCCTGTGATATTCGTCTACAAAGACTGTTGCCAGGGTAATGTATTTGTGTTAGGGGTTTTCCTGTGACATTCGTCTACAAAGACGGTTGCCAAGGTAATGTAATAGTGTTAGGGGTTTTCCTGTGATATTTGTCTACAAAGGCTGTTGCCAAGGTAATGTATTTGTGTTAGGGGTATTCCTGTAACATTTGTCAACAAAGGCTGTTGCCAAGGTAATGTATTTGTGTTAGGGGTTTTCCTGTGACATTCGTCTACAAAGGCTGTTGCCAGGGTAAAGTCTTTGTGTTAGGGGTATTCCTGTGACGTTTGTCTACAAAGGCTGTTGCCAGGGTAATGTATTTGTGCTAGGGGTATTCCTGTGACATTCGTCTACAAAGGCTGTTGCCAGGGTAAAGTATTTGTGTTAGGGGTTTTCCTGTGACATTTGTCTACAAAGGCTGTTGCCAAGGTAATGTATTTGTGTTAGGGGTTTTCCTGTGATATTTGTCTACAAAGGCTGTTGCCAAGGTAATGTATTTGTGTTAGGGGTTTTCCTGTGACATTCGTCTACAAAGACTGTTGCCAAGGTAATGTAATTGTGTTAGGGGTTTTCCTGCGACATTCGTCTACAAAGACTGTTGCCAAGGTAATGATTTTGTGTTAGGGGTTTTCCTGTGACATTCGTCTACAAAGGCTGTTGCCAAGGAAATGTAATTGTGTTAGGGGTTTTCCTGTGACATTCGTCTACAAAGGCTGTTGCCAAGGTAATGGATTTGTGTTAGGGGTTTTCCTGTGACATTCGTCTACAAAGGCTGTTGCCAGGGTAAAGTCTTTGTGTTAGGGGTATTCCTGTGACATTTGTCTATAAAAGCTGTTGCCAGGGTAATGTATTTGTGTTAGGGGTATTCCTGTGATATTTGTCTACAAAGGCTGTTGCCAAGGTAAAGGGGTATTCCTGTGACATTTGTCAACAAAGGCTGTTGCCAAGGTAATGTATTTGTGTTAGGGGTTTTCCTGTGACATTCGTCTACAAAGGCTGTTGCCAAGGAAATGTAATTGTGTTAGGGGTTTTCCTGTGACATTCGTCTACAAAGACTGTTGCCAAGGTAATGTAATTGTGTTAGGGGTTTTCCTGCGACATTCGTCTACAAAGACTGTTGCCAAGGTAATGATTTTGTGTTAGGGGTTTTCCTGTGACATTCGTCTACAAAGACGGTTGCCAAGGTAATGTAATAGTGTTAGGGGTTTTCCTGTGATATTTGTCTACAAAGGCTGTTGCCAAGGTAATGTATTTGTGTTAGGGGTTTTCCTGTGATATTTGTCTACAAAGGCTGTTGCCAAGGTAATGTATTTGTGTTAGGGGTATTCCTGTGACATTCGTCTACAAAGGCTGTTGCCAAGGTAATGGATTTGTGTTAGGGGTTTTCCTGTGACATTCGTCTACAAAGACTGTTGCCAAGGTAATGTAATAGTGTTAGGGGTTTTCCTGTGATATTCGTCTACAATTTTTTTTTCTTGTGAATGCTATTAACAGTGAACCAAGTTAGGATTGTAATCATAGTCAATATAGTGTGGTCAATTTCAATGGTTTTGTCATTTTGGATATTTGCCAAATTTGATCACGCATTCAGAATTATTTTTACGCATTCAGTTTTTTTTTATATGCATTCAGAAATATTTTTACGAGGTGGTCAGATGATGTAGTGGACAGCACACTGGCCTTTAACCAATCAGACATGAAAATGTATTGATTAGGTCATAGTGCCCACCACATGTTGTCTCTGGGTACTCTGGTTTCCTCCCCTATGTGCCTTGTCCAGGGCCAACCAAAAACCTTCTTTTATAATTATTGTAAAAAAAATAAAGTTTATATTTTTAACATTGAATTTCACTGGTGAAATTAAAACACAAAGTCAAGTAATTAAAATATTTATATATATATATTTTTTAAATTTAAATTGACGATTCAACATGTGGGACAGTATATGTAGTACTATTACCAGTGACAGTTTGTGTGGCTATCAACACAAACATGTACCACCCAGATATTAAATATCAATGATGTAGTGTTGGGGTTATCTTGCCAAAGCAATATGCTATTATCAAAGCCCTATATCTTATGACAGCTGATCAGTCAGGCTCCGTGGAAACAGATATACCTATTTAAATAATCTGAAGCGGGGTAAGTTATCTTGATCAGTCATGTGAAGGAATCAACAATGATTGGCTGTCAGCGAGTGTTTCTCCGACAATACAGTTTATAATGGGACGATCAAGGAGGACTTCACAATCATAATGGTAAAATCAGTGATGACCTTGGGGATCACAGGTCTCACAAATACGTATTACCCAAGAAATTTGTCTACAGCAAAACACGAATGGCCCCGTAACTTTTGTTCAGAATACACAGGTTTTCTAATTCCACAGACCACATATCTTAATACTTACTATTTCTCAATACCTACCATGATTTTTTTCCGGGCATCTGAACTATTATGAACAAAGTTTTGTCAAATTGAGTAAAAATACTTATTATCGTATCTGATATTTGACAAACTCGATGTAAATTACAGGTATGTTTTTCAAGCTGACCACACTTTGTCCAGTGTCCCCCTTAGTGTCCGTGTCGGTCTACACAAGACAATCAATGGAGACCCCCCAGTGTCTGTCCTGGCTTTCTAGTCTCCAGCCTCCGAGGACTAGACCTGATCAACATCATGTCCAATTTCTTTATCCGTTTATCATCGTTTATCATTAAAAGATTTCCATACCAGAACCTGTGTAAGATTCCTTATGTTTCACCATTAGCATGAGGAGGTCAGTGAATTGACCAAGTACAGAGATAGCCATGCTGTATAATTGTCCGCATATGACTGTCTCTGTCTGATAAAGCTGTCTTGGAATAGCTAAGACATTTTGAGATAATAAACAGAGCATATTCCAGAAGAAGTCGAAAATGCATTTACATATGGAGTTGGGATTAAATTGTCACAAAAATGAAACTAACTGTCCAACTGTTGTCAATGAAATGTAATGTTTGCCTAACTGTTGTCACACGATGAGTATTATCTGCCTAACTGTTGTAATAAAAATTTAGGCACATTTTCATCACAAAGTTGTAATTTTTGGCCAATATGTCTTAAAATATGTACTAGCTACCTAAAACTGATCATCATGTGATGATTGTTGCTTCATTTTTATCATGGATTTGTTGTTGATCTTTTTGTTGATGTGGCAGGTTTTAATTGTACATT